TTAAGTTGCAATATATACTTTATTGTGAAGGGAGTGTGGAAGAACAAATCATGAGGAGTCTTAATTAATAATAATTGTATATGTACTTGAAAAAGTGAGACAAGGATTTTTTTCTCTAAATTAGAAACAAGATTGTTTTACATGTCAATCCCAGTTCCCTCTGTCTCCCCTCCTCCCTTGCCCCCCACTAACACCCTACCTATCCCATTCCCTTTCTGCTCCCCAGGGAGGGTGAGGCCTTCCATAGGGGGTCTTCAGAGTCTGTCACATCATTTGGGATAGGGCGTAGGCCCTCTCCTGTGTGTCTAGGCTCAGGGAGTATCCCTCTAGGTGGAATGGATCATTTGTTAGCTTGGTTTATTGAGAGGCTGTAGAAAGTCCATTCCTATGCTAGGGATAAGTACTGATCTACTACAAGAGGCACCATAGATGTCCAAGGCCTCCTCACTGACACCCACATTCATGGGGTCTGGATCAGTCTCATGCTGGTTTCCCAGCTATCAGTCCGGGGACCATGAGCTTCCCCTTGTCAGGTCAGCTGTTTCTGTGGGTTTCACCAGTCTGGTCTGAACCACTTTGCTCATCACTCCTCCTTCTCTGCAACTGGATTCCAGTTCAGTTCAGTGCTTATCTGTGGGTGTCTGCTTCTCCTTCTACCAGCTGCTGGATGAAGGCTATAGGATGGCATATAAGTTAGTCATCACTCTCATTATCAGGGGACAGCATTTAAGGCAGCCTCTCCTTTGTTGCTTAGATTGTTAGTTGGTGTCATCCTTGTAGATCTCCAGACATTTCCCTAGTGTCTGATTTCTCTTTAAACCTATAATGGCTCCCTCTATTATGATGTCTCTTATCTTCTCTTCTCCATCTTCCCCCGACTCAACCTTCCTGCTCCCTCATGTCCTCCTCACCCTTCCTCTTCTCCCCTTCTCATTCTCCTAGCTCCTCCCCCACCCCCATGCTCCCAACTCAGGAGATCTTGTTTTTCTCTGGGGCATCATGTATGCCTCTCTTAGAGTCCTCCTTGTTTCCTAGCTTCTCTAGCGGTATGGATTGTAGGCTGGTAATTCTTTGCTCTATGTTTAAAATCCATATATGAGTGTGTACATTCCATGTTTGTCTTTTTGTGACTGAGTTACCTCACTCAGGATGGTTTCCTACAGGTCCATTCATTTGCCTGGGAATTTCAAGATTCCATTGTTTTTTTTTTTCCACTGAGTAGTACTCCATTGTGTAAATATACCATATTTTCTCTATCCATTCTTCAGTTGAGGGCATCTAGGTTGCTTTCAGGTTCTGGCTATTACAAATAATGCTGCTATGAACATAGTTGAACAGACATCTTTGTTGTATGAATGTGCTTCTTCTGGGTATATGCCTAAGAATGGAATTGCTGGATCTTGTAGAAGACTGATTCCTATTTTCCTGAGGAATCGCCATACTGATTTCCAAAGTGGCTGTACGAGTTGGCACTCCCACCAGCAGTGAAGGAATGATCCCCTTTCTCTACATCCTCTCCAGCATAAACTGTCTTTGGTATTTTTGATTTTAGTCATTCTGACAGGAGTAAGATGGTATCTCAGAGTTGTTTTGATTTTCAGTTCCCTGATGGCTAATGATTTTGAGTATTTCTTAAGTGTCTTTCAGCCATTTTAGATTCCTCTATTGAGAATTGTCTATTTAGTTCTGTACCCCACTTTTTAATTGGATTATTTGGTGATTGTATTTGGAAACTAGCTTCTTGAGTTCTTTGTAAATTTTGGAGATCAGCCCTCTGTTGGATGTGGGGTTGGTGAATATCTTTTCCCATTCTGTGGTCTGCCGTTTTGTCTTGCTTACTGTGTCCTTTGCCTTACAGAAGCTTCTCAGTTTCAGGAGGTCCCATTTATTAATTGTCGATCTCAGTGTCTGTGCTAATGATCTTATGTTCAGAAAGCTGTCTCCTGTACCAATTCATTCAAGGGTACTTCGCACTTTGTCTTCTAATAGGTTCAATGTGGCTGGATTTATGTTGAGGTCACAGGATAGCCAAAACAACCCTGTACAATAAAGGAACCTCCAGAGGCATCACCATTCCTGACTTCAAGCTCTATTATAGAGCTATACTCCTGAAAACAGCTTAGTATTGGTACAAAAATAGACAGGTAGACCAATAGAATTGAATTGAAAACCCTGATATTTCACAGGATAGCCAAAACAACCCTGTACAATAAAGGAACCTCCAGAGGCATCACCATTCCTGACTTCAAGCTCTATTATAGAGCTATACTCCTGAAAACAGCTTAGTATTGGTACAAAAATAGACAGGTAGACCAATAGAATTGAATTGAAAACCCTGATATTAACCCACACACCTACAAATACCTGATTTTTGACAAAGAAGTTAAAATTATGCAACGGAATAAAGAAAGCATCTTCAACAAATGTTGCTGGCATAACTGGATGCTGGCATTTAGAAGACTGCAGATAAATCCATGTCTATCACCATACACAAAACTTAAGTTCAAATGCATCAGAGACAATGATTTTTTTTTAAATCTGTTTTTTGTTGTTGTTTTTTGTTTTTTGTGGGGGGAGGTCATTTGAGACAGGGTTTCTCTATGTAGCTCTGACTGTCCTGGAACTTACTCTGTAGATCAGGCTGGCCTCAAACTCACAGAGATCCATCTATCTCTGCCTCCTAAGGACTGGAATTAAAGGCATGTGCTATCACTGCCCAGCAAAATCTGATTTTTTGACAAGTATGGTTCCTCTGTAAAGGATTAGCACAACTATCCAGAATTATTTTGCTCCCTGCTGTGTGTGGTTAAAACAAGAGAAAAAATATCCCTCATGATAATGTTGAAATTTTTTTTAAAAAAATCTTTGGCAGATGTTCAGAATAGAACTTTATAATGTCCAGCCAGATCTACAGGTCTTCAGCGGGCTCTGTCACTCAGAATCAAGAAGTCAGAGGAATACTACCAAGTCACACTTACTGGCCTCTTCTCACTTGCCATGGTAGCTCTGCATGGTGTATTTAATAACTGTCCTTCACGTCATTATGATCGCATCCTTATGAGATTCATATCATATGTAGTTCCAGCTCAAAAAGGGAAAGTGAGGCTCTCAGAGGTCAAGCCATCAGTCCACAGATCCACAGCTGGTCTGTGGTGGGTCCACTGTGTCCAGAGCTCTTACTCACAATCCAGTTACCCAATGTGCCCATCCCAAATGCATAAATTGAGGCCCAGTCAGTAGATATCTGGAATATGGATACACTGAAGTATGCATATTAGATAGAAGCTGAGCTACAGGCTGATCATAGTTAAATAATTGTCCTTTATTGAAAAATTAATGGAACTCTGAGCTAGCTAGAAAGCAATTAGTAGATTGCAGTAGAAATTAAGGCTAGCATTCTGCCCAGGCATGAAAAGGTGAAAAGAAGGGATGGAGGGAAGGTTAATTATTGAAGTCCATATCACATTGATGAGAGGTAGATTTGATTTTGAATGGCTTTTACTAATAACCGCCCAGACGTGGCTTTCATTAGGAAAACAAATTTCCAGATCTAAATGAAATCTTCCTAAAACAGTTCATTCCCCAGCCCACCCCGCCCTAACATTTCCTTCTCTTCTGTTCTGATGTATGGTAATCAAAGCATTTTTCTGACAACTAATTTAACTCCTCAAACACATGGTTATAAGAAAGATTATCAATTATTAAATGAGGTACGGCTTTCACTAACATACTAACCATGTTTTTAACAGTGTCCTAAGTGATTTGGGTTACTATAAATCAACTCTCAACCAGACAAGTTTTGGAGGAAACCAAAAGGATTTTCCCAAAAAAAGAGGCACTACTCCTCACTCCCATGTTAGGAGGCTCATCTGCACTGTTCCGAATCTAAGGCTCTCACCATCTCTGTCCCACTTTTGCTAGATGACTCTCACTGTCCTAACCTGGCCATTTTAAGGAATCTGATAAGGTTCCTTCAGAATTTTAAGGAACAAATAGAAAGGAAAATGTAATATGGGAGCCTGGCTCTGGGGAGGACAAAAGAACCCATGGATGTAAACAGATATCCGGAGATAAAGCCGCCTTGGCGGCCATGGGCTTTAAGCTGCAACTGCTGACCCGTCCAGTCAGCGTCAAGCACTTACTGCATTTAGACCACAGAACTAAGATAGCATTATCACCTTTAGAATACCTGTGAGGAAATGTGTGCACAGTTATGGAGTAGGTGATTTCTAGGCCAGCAGGCAAGCAGTGGACATGAGTTCCCTGGTGGAATCCTACCAGCTTTTTTCACAGCCGACTGGCCAAGGGAATGTTCTATCATGCCCCATATTCTTTTCTACTGCTGTCTCTGTGCTCCGCGCCTCTTTTATGTCTGGGCATCACCTCTTGATGCCCCAGCAAACTCTCTAGGCTCCTCCTGGTAAGACTATCAGATGTTGCCACCTTCGTTCTCCTGATGGATCTAGGCAGAAATCGATCTGCAGAAGCATTAAGCTCTCACCAGCACTGACTTCTGTCTGAGACAGCTGCAGAGGCGCCCTTCGGTTTACCTCATTACCTTGTGCAGGAGCAGAAGGCTAGAGATTTTCCTCTCAATGGCTCTTGACTGAGCTGCAGTGTTCCAAACAGTAAGGAATTTGTCTGAAGAAATATAGATTATGGCCACACCCTGGATGCCCAATGTTCCCTCCCACTGGTCCTGGGCATCACTGTGCTCTGTTCAAGTGTTATAAGAACTTGCATTGGCAGGAAACCCTGTTCGTCCATGCCCAGGGACCACTTATATCAGTGGTCTCCCATGATTGCCAGTAAGAACGCATCTGCTTGCTAGGAAACAATTTTGTTCAAATGAAGACTATCTAGTGGACCCTGTCCCTCAACTACAAAATAACTGGCAGCTGTGACTTATCACAGTGTAGATACACACACTGGGATCATCAAAGCCCTAGCTAATTACATATGAAAATTGCATGCCTCATCTTTCATTTATTCTGTTACAGATAAAGGAATTTTCATTATCCAGAGTGAGAGCCTCAAGACATGCATTCAGGCAGGTAAATCCGGACTGACCCTGGAGAGCTGCAAGCAGCCAAACAAACACATGCTGTGGAAATGGGTTTCAAACAACCACCTCTTTAATGTGGGAGGCAGTGGCTGCCTAGGCCTGAATCTATCTAATCCAGAACAACCATCAAGCCTTTATGAATGTGACTCTACCCTCATTTCCTTGAGATGGCACTGTAACAGGAAGGTGATCATGGGCCCACTCCAGTACAAGGTCCAGGTCCAGCATGGCAACATGGTGGTGGCATCACGGAAACATCTCCATAAGTGGGTCGCCTACATGTCGGACAGTGGAGACATCTGTGAGCATCTTCACCGAGGTAAGAGTAGATTTAGAGAATATGTAGACTCTATTTCATAAGTGTGTGTGTGTGTGTGTGTGTGTGTGTGTGTGTGTGTGTGTGTGTGTCATATAAGGAACACATGGAGTCTGCCATGACAAGACTTCTGGGAAATTGTAGTCAATTCCTTGCTTATAGGAAAAGGATTATTGGAATCTTGGGATGGCTGTGTTAAGTCTGCTAAAGAGACAACAATCTCAGAATCTAAAGGTACTGAAAGAAAATATTAACTAGCTTTGGGAACCAATACAAAGGAGAAGCCCTAACAAGAGGGAGAGGAGGAAAAAGCAGAAGGGAAGGTATGTAAAGGGAAGGCTTTCACACTGACAGATACAAAGCATCCACCCTTGGCACCACTTCTCTCATTGCAGAAGCTCAACCCCACCTGTGGGGAGGCGGCAGCGTCTATGGGGCATTCAGGTACCATCTAAGCCTGGCTGTCATACATGTGACAGTCATGCTACAAGGCACTGAAAGATAAATGGCACACTATTGTCAAGGGTAATTTATTGTGTACCACAGCATGGATTATGGGGAGACATGATTTATATCGGGGCTTTCATTTTCTACAGTTCTGTTACTTTTTGGCATTTTAAACAGAAAAAGAATGGAAGACACAAAAACAAAGCTACACAGTAAAATGCTGACACCCATACTCTGCCAGCCCCCCACCACACACACACATACACACACACACACACACACACACACACACACACACACACACACACCCACCATTTGTACACTCATCCATCCATCTGGCACACATTTTCTTTTTTCTTGAGCAATGACTATTGATCAGACACAGTGCTAGGTACCTGGTGTACAGAGGCCAAGACAGATGCAGTCCTTCTCCTCAGGGTGATTGGTTAGATTAAAACTCCTAAGAGCACTATACCAGTCATTAGTGGTACATCGGGGAAGTCCCAAGTCCTAAGGCAGGACCTTCTGTTGTTAATGTGAGTGAAGGAAGAGTCAGAGCCAAGCCTAGGACATTTTCTGGGCTTGCATACTAGAATAAAGCATGAGTTTTATCAGGATGATGACAACCCTATAATTCTCAGGAAGAACTTGGTGCTTGCTTTGTGTTAGCATGTTAGCCCTCTGTCCATACCGACAATGCACACAGCAGCCAATGGTTCAGAGTAGAAAACAAGGGGCTGAAAGAAATAAAAGTCTGGGTCCTGAAATACCTCTAATTCCTACAAAAACCCATCCATGTCCTGTGAACTCAGTCTAGCCACTGCAAATTGTGAGACAATGTAGAAATCTCCATAGCCAATCCCCTTGTGTAAGACATAATGACCTCATAGAGTATGACTTGGATAACCCCTGTCATGGAAATCACCTGCTGAATCGTGGATCATTTGTTGGTTGCCACTATGGCCAATGATGGTGGATTTTTGCAATATTCTGAGTAAGCAGTCAGCAGAACTGCATGGCCAGCCTGATGAGAACCAGCAATAGAAACTGGTCAGGTGGGTTGGGGTTCTGACAATGTCTTTGCTGGAGGCCTGGAAAGCTAGAAAAGTGTTCATTCCTCTTTTTCCATTCATCTCCTAAAGGAGCACTATGAGGCCATGGGTAGCTGCCTGACAGACCAGGATGAGCCAACTGGGCTGATCTGTTCATCTCCCTCCTCATACCTCAGCCCTGTCTCTGCCATAAGTCCCTTAGAAGACCCAGACTGTCAGCTGGGTGGCACCTGCTTTCCTGGGAGCCCTTCCTTCTAAATTTACAGGTGTCCCCCTCCCCCAAGCCCTCACCTGTGAGTCTATAATAAATTTCTAAAGCTTTCTGTCTCTGTTGACCCTGAATTTCATTCTTTGAATTCCTGAGGCAAGCACTGTCTGGGAGCATTAACTCAAAGCAGCTTGGCTGGCCAAGTCTGAGACCCTAGCTCCCCAACAAGGACTCTTTGGTTATCAAGGACACCCCAATATGCCTACGGATAGAAGCTGACTCACCGGCTAGCCCACTCCACTCTCTCTCCATTCAGACAGTGTTACAATGCACCCAGAGATTTTTGCTTTGCTTTTTAAGAATGGAAGTCTGATTTTGTCACTTTCTCATTTGAAAACTGCCAGTGACTTCCTGCCACCCTCAGAATAAAGATGGGAATATATCAAAACAATCTGAGAAACTGCTTCGCAGAGTCCACTTCCTGGATCCTCCTTTTTTCCTACAAGCACTCTTTTTCTCCAGTTCTTTAGACTCGTTCCTTCTGTGAGGACAGTTCCTTCCCCACACTAGTATCTTTGCTTCAACCAACTCAACCCCGGATGCAGGAGCCACTCCACTACACACACACACAACCTTCTTATCCTACTTTATTTTCCTCATTGGATTTATTATTACCTGAAACTAGTTTATATATTTGCTATCACATATTCTTTCTCCACCAAACCAGTTTGTTAACAAAAAGGAAGTTTTAATAGTTCACTATGATGTTGCCAGTGCAGGGTATGTTAACTGATCAATAAGTACTTATTTTTTAATTTTAAAGGATTTATTTATTTATGTATGTATAAATGTTTTGCCTGCACATATGTACATTCACTACATACATGTCTGGTGCCCACAGAGGCCAGAAGAGGGCATTGTAATCCCCAGAACTGGAGTTATGATGGTTCTGGGTATCGAACCCAGGTCCCCTGCAAGAGGAACAAGTACTCTAGTACGTTAAGCCATCTCTCCAGGCCCCAAAAATATTTATTGGCTGTTGTGAGATATAAACAACTACCCCTCTACATAAAAGACATAAACAATATCTACCCCCTACATGAGATCCCAATGACAAGTCAAAGGTGGGGTCTACCAAAGTTAGCCCCAAGGAAGCAGTGAGTGTGTTAGGTTTACTTATGAGCATGGATGAGGGATTATGGGCTGGAGAGTGGGTGGGCCTAAGGCAGTCACATGGAAGATCCGTGCCTAGTATGAACAACAACCTCCAAGGCTGCATAGAGGAATCCCTCTTCCTTTAGCCTTCCCCAGCCTATACACACTAGTACCTCTGGGATCTCTCAGGCCACATTTGTATACAAATGGCCACAGCTAGATACTCAGGTGAAAGTCCTATGACCACCACCCCTACCACACACACACACACCCTTTCTTTGTTTTATCAGGGAATGTCTCAGTCCACAGGCCCAACCATGGTGACACTTGCAAGGGGCACAGCTGATCTGATGAAGATGGCAGCTCTTTTGCTTAGAGGACTGTGGTCTACAATATCAACCTCACATAGGCAGGCTGCAAATCCTTAAAAACAAAACAAAACAAAAAAGAAATTCCATTACATTTTTTTCTTTCCATTCATTCACAAATGTGTATGCTGCTGTGAGCAGTAGCTGTAGTAAACAAACAGCTAGATAAACATAGGAGCAAACCATTTGCACTACCTCTGAAGACCTGGTATGTCTGCACACACTAGCTGGTGAGGCCCCAGGGCTCATAGAGCTTTGAACAAGTGCCTGCCAGTGGTGGTTTTCACAAAAAAAAGAAGAAAAAAAAGAAGAAGAAGAAAGAAGAAATACACTAACAAATGACATGTTCCTAAGAAGAAACTGATGTTGTATTTGACTGTGATTTGTTTTTCTCCTAGATTTATACACAATCAAAGGAAACGCCCATGGGATGCCTTGCGTGTTTCCCTTCCAGTACAACCATCAGTGGCACCATGAATGTATCCGGGGAGGGCAGAAAGAAAACCTGCTGTGGTGTGCCACCACAAGCCGATACGAACGAGATGAGAAATGGGGATTCTGCCCAGATCCTAGTAAGAATAAATCTATCTCCATATGTCATGAATGAATGAAGGATGATTGGAAACTTATCTGTAGTGAAAGAAAACAACAGGGTTGATGGGTTGATGTCTGAACAAGTGCTCTGATTCCATCAATCTAGCATTTGATTTGAGGTTTGTTTTTTGACTTGAAGAGACAATTCTAATTCATAGTCCTTTCCCCCCTCTGCATTCAAAAGATGCTAACTAGCTTTTCTTCATTACACTTGGTACATAAAGATGATTAAACTGGAATCAAATTATAGTATTCTGTGGTCTTGCCAATACCAGCTCCCCGGCAGAACGCTTCTAAACAACCAGAATGCAGATAAAACCCAGTCATCCTTTCAGTCCCCCGCCCCCCTGCCTACTAGGAACTGCCACAATGTGTCCACATCCAGACTGCTTGTCTTGCCAGTTGTCAAGCCCAGACATCAGCCGGACCCTTGATGGTCTCTCTGTAGCATCACAGTTGCCTTCATTACTCGTCTTGACTTCTCACTTTTCCAATCCTCCTGCTGTAGCCTCAAAACCTTTTCTCGGGTTCTTAACCTAATTTTCAAGGTCCAGTGAGCTATAACATCCTACATACTTTTTCCTGGTAGTGCTTGATTATTATTTTTTGTTTAACTAAAGAGTTTTCTATTGTTCCTAAATTTTGAGGAATAGTTACACCTTCTACTTTCTGTATTCTGTTTTCTTCACGTCTGTTCCCAAGACTCAGAGAATGTATCAACTTCTCTCCTTCCATGCCTGCCTCCCTTCCAGGCATACACTAAAATGCAACAATTAAATTTAGAACAAAGGTAAATTAAAGAGATATCTCCCAATAATGTGACTTATAAGCCAGCTTCATAGTTATTTTCTAGTGTAAGAGCCACGGGGGTTTAATAAATAAGGAAGAGTGGCAGTTTTTAATTTAGACAAACCAAGATGAGTCCAACTTCCCCCGGGGAAGTGAATCTTTGGAAAGTCCCCCATCTCCATTTCTCTCACTCTCTGCTTCCCTCATGACAAAACGAAGACCATAGCATTGCCTGGTAGTGTTGTTGTGTATAGTCAATTAGACAGTGCGCATCAAAGACACCAATAGCAGTAGGTACTCAGTAAGCACTCATAAGGACTGGCTGTCACTCATCTTTTCAGCATGCTTCCTGTTTTGGCAGTACTGGATACTGACCCTGGGGCCTTTAACAAGCTAAGCAAGCACTCTGCCACTGAGCTACATGCCAGACCTTTCAACATTTATTTATGAATGGATGACCCCTCCTCTTTATTGCTATCCCTACCACTAAACTGGGCATAGTAGTGGATGCCAAGAGTTTTAGAGCTTTGGACGTTCCCCTCAAAGAAGTTGGCATCTTGACTTAAGGCAAGATGGACAGGCTTGCTCTGTGCCAGAAAATGCAGACAATATTTGATGTGATGCACTAGAATCACTTGGGGGAAGAGGCGCAGTGGTCCAGGATGTGGGACCCAGACATCTGCATTTTGGGAAGTGTTCAGGCAAATCAGATACATATAATTCTTCACCAGGAAATTCATAGTATGCAACTCATTTCGGGCTTTATCTATCTGTCTGTCTGTCTGTCTGTCTGTCTGTCTGTCTGTCTATCTATCTATCTATCTATCTATCTATCTATCTATACACCAGGATGGCATGAAGACACTTACCAGTCAGCATCACACCAGGTATCAACCATTCCAAGTGAGATGTTAGTGTTAAGCTCTGTTCTTTATTTGGAACTGTTTTTAAGTACTGTGTTCTCACTGAGGGACTTTTAAAAAATAACCATATGTTAGTTTACTTGCCGTGTCATATCTATAAAACACCATAACCAAAACACACCTTGGGGCCAAAAAGGCTTATTTGGCTCACAGTCCATCAAGAAGAGAAGTCAGGGCAGGAACCTGAAGTAAAGCAGAGACCACGGAGGGATACTGTTTGCTGGTCTGCTCTTCATGGCTTGCTCAGTTTGCTTTTTTTTATACAACCCAGGGATGTCCCCACCGACAATGGGCAGGGTCCTTCCACACCAATCATTATTCAAGAAAATACTTCACACACTTGTCTACAAGCCACACTAATGGAGGCATTTTTGTCATTTGAGGTTCTCTCTTCCCAGATGACCAACACAGGTGTCTTAAGTTTCTGAGGTGAATTTTGTCACCATACACTGTCACTTGTAGCCGATTTCAGCTTTGTCCCTTGGAAGACTGGTTTTGTTGGGCTCAGGACTTTGACACTCCCCAGACTGTTTGTTCAGTTTCCCACAGCTCAGGAGCTTCCTCAGCCCACCCGATTCCAGCTCCCCTGACCTCTCCACAGCAGCAGAGAGCATGTGTATACAGTGCTAAATCACAGCTCTGCTTTTCTCCCTTTCTTATTGCTTTTGGTTCCTGGTGGCCAACATAACTCAGAATGATGTGTCCAGGAATGGAATCTGAGTATGCTGGCCATCCTTTCCATGAGTCAACAAGTAGACAGGTCAGAGAGAAATGAAATAAAGATTCACACTTTACTGTCTCATCTAGTGTCACAAGGGATATTTTTAAATTTCTGTGTGGAATGATGGCTGCCTTTAATAAAAGTCGATTGTAAGGGAGAAAAATTTAAAGTTAACATATATGTGGCCAAACACACTAGCCTGAAGAATGTAGTTAAACAGCATCAGGAATAAGCATGATAAACAGGACTCACACTGTTTTGTTTAGAGGTTAGTCTGGGCCATGCCTGCTCTCTCTGTGTTATATATGTTACACAGCAAGAGAGTTACATTTAGAGATATTTTTGGAATTCTATTCTCTGCAACAGTAGTTCTTCATGCTGTGACCCTTTAACACAGTTCCTCGTGTTGTGGTGACACCCCAACCATAAAATTATTTTCTCTGCAGCTTTGTAACTGTAATTTTGCTACTGTTATGAATCATAATGTAAAGATCTCTGTTTTCTGATGATCTTAGGTGACTCCTGTGAAACGGTTGTTCAACCCCAAAGGGGTTGTAACCTTCGGGTTAAGAACCTTTGTTCTCTATGGTTTCGATCAGTAACTTGAATAATAGAACAGAATAATTTGGTAACAACAGTATTTGCCACCCTCATCATAGTCTCTAAAATAAATCAAGAATGTGTTATGTCCCTCTTCATCAATAAAAAAAAGAAACAAAACAAAACAAAAGCCATATGTTTCGAAGAGCATATCAAGACAGTGGAATGGCTTGGTGCTCACCTAGCATGACTGAGATCCCAAGTTCTATCCCCAGAACCCTCACCTCAAAAGATCTCCTACAAATGGGAGAAATGTTTATGAATAATTTGCCTTCTAAGGATATCACATCTAGAATATAAAAAGAATTCTGATTTTATGCAATCCAAAGGGTTCTCAGGGGTGGTACTACCAACAGTTGGCTAGGTCCTTTGTCTTAGTTACTGTTCTATTGCTGTGAAGAGACACTATAACCCTGGATACAAGAAATCATATGACTGGGAGATTGCTTACTGTTTCAGAGGGTGTGCCCATGACCATCATGACAGGAAGTATGGCAAGAGGCAGACAGGTGTGGTGCTATGGCAGTAGCTGAGAGTGCACATCTTCCAAGCACAAGTGGGCTTTTGAAACCTCAAATCCCACCCTCAATGACACACCTTCTCCAACAAGACCAGACCTTCAATAAGGTCACACGTCCCAATCCTTCCTAAACAGTTTACCAGCTGGGTGCTGCATTCAATGGAAATTTCAATTCCCCAAACTCCAAAAGGTTCTACAAATAGCCAGAAATGAGCTGAACCTGGACTATAGGAGGATTTCTGGTGGTTGGATAAAAGCCAGAAGTTCCTCAGCAACTTGTGAAACCAGTTCCCATCTGTCAGAAGGAATCAGTTCCCTTACCTCTGGCAGAAGAGACGCCACTGACATATACCTGTGGTTCTGTATCAAAGCCTATACCACCTCCAGGCTCATAAGTACCTGTTATACGTTTCAGAGTCCACACTAGTATCCTAGCCCTTCTCACTTCCTTCTCCACCTTAACTCCCTCCAGGTCATGGGTTTCCCTCCCTACTTCCTTCTTATAACCTGGCTATTCTCAGTATACACTATCTACTCTGTCTCTGGTCATTCTACTTCTCTCACAGATAGCTCTGGCCATGTTCAGTCTGCTGCTGTTTCTTTCTGTTCTCTCTCATATCTATAATAAAAAATCCCCCCCTTAACCATAACATGGAGTGGTCAGGAGTTCCTTTACTGTGACCCCTCAAATACTCAGGGAACCAAACATTCAAATATGGAAGCCATTTTCATTCACTCCATCACATCCCTCCAACATCAACCATTAATCAAGAAAATGACCCACAGACATGCCCACAGGCCAACCTGATGGAGACAATCCTTTAATTAAGGTCCCTCCTCCCACATGACTCCAGCTTGTGTCAAATTGGAAAACTGCTAACTAGCATAACATATAATACATAATGTTGAACAGTAAAAACAATGAAATATTGCTACATGCCATAACATAAATGACTCTTGAAAACACAATGCTAAGAGAGCAAAGCAAGGCACAAAATAGCACATATTATATAATTTCAGTTATTGAAATATATAGCATAAGCAAATCTATAGATATGGAAACTAGATTAATGGTTGCTATGGGCTACAGGTAGATGGGAGTAAGGACTGAAAGGGAAATGGGGAGTCACCCCTCACGAGTACTATGTTTCTTCTTCATATGATTTAATGGTTCTAAAGCAATTATGATAGTTCCACACTCTCCCGATTATACTAAAAGATTGGATTATGTAGTTTAAATGGATGAATTACATGGTGCATGACTTACATTGCAATAAAAACGTTAGGAGATGAGAAATTAGAGACAGTATGTGCATAAAAGTATATAATGATTGGAGACCAGGAGAAGGCAATAACTGGGATAGAGAGGCCAAAGTAGGGAGCGCTCTCTCTCTCTCTCTCTCTCTCTCTCTCTCTCTCTCTCTCTCTCTCTCTCTTTTTGTGAGACTTTCTCTGTAGCTTTGAAGCCTGTCCTGGAACTCGCTCTGTAGGCCAGGCTGGTCTCAAAGTCACAGACATCTGCCTGTCTCTGCCTCTACCTCCTGAGTGCTGGGATTAAAGGTGTGAGCCACCACTGCCCAGCTATTTTCGTCTCTTTTTAAGGACAAAAGATGATCAGCCATCTTGGAATGCATCTGGAAATGATGTAACAGAGGGACTAAAGATGCAGAAAAGTGAAAGCAATTGATGGCTTCTATGTGGTCTCTCAGAGAACAGAAGTACGGTTCAGGCCACATACTCACAGATTAACTGGTCATATACATAAAGGAAATTCTCAATGGGAGTGTTGTAGAGGGCAGCATAGGTCCAAAGAAGTTGATGGATTGTATGAGGGGAGAAAATGAGAAGAAACTTATCCAATGGCTGTGGCATTCCATACCTAAAGTTGTTATCTTCTGGCTGATACATGAATTTATGAAAAGGTCCAATATTAAAAACAACAGAAAACAAGGTTGTCACCAAACAGCATTTAAGGAATGAGAAAGCAAAGGAGGAAGAGAAAGGGAAATTTTTAGAAACTACTTTGCTGGGGAGGTTGACTGTCCTTAGTGAGATGCAATCCATCATCATTTTGTTTAGTTAAAGTGATAGGCCTTCCCTGAGATGGACAATACACTGGCTTTAGACTGTAGATTGGCCATATTCATCTGGTGTGACCATTGAGACCATGAAAGTTAAGGAAGTGTATAGGACTTTGGTGTGCCAAGAAAATCTGTAGCAGGTAGTTTTAAAAAGGCTGATTCCCTGCTCTCAGTCTCAGAGGTTATGAATCAGGCCTGCTGTGGGGCTCGGGAGCACGCATTTAAAACCTAGTCCTGATTGTAAAGCAGATGTTATTCAAAGCAAACACTAGGCAACACAGCCTTTAAGGAAAATATTTGAAACCCTTCCTAAGGAGGGCATGTCTGGGTGACCTGTGCTATTCAAGGATGGCAAAATGGCAGGGTTAATTCTGGGCATGGAGCAGCTGCCTCTCACTTCTGACATGGAGGAAGATCTTACAGTAAGTCTTAACTACAATACAGACCACCCCTGTATGCATGACATGAAAAGGTGTGAAGGACACCTCAACTGATCTGGGTTCTGTTTTTGTCAAGAGTTGGTCTTGCTCTTTCAAGATAACCCTTTTTTCAGAACCTCTTCAAGTTCTACATATTAAATAGTTGCAGCCAGTGGTTGTGTAACATGTGGGCTGTGTATACACACCCCCAGGGTAAGTTAGATTGTACTTGGGTTTAGACTATCTGTGCCGATTTCTAAGGTTATATAACAGAGAAACTTAAGTCAAATACTTGCAGTAGACACTCATCTTCTCCTAACAAGTCACCTCATTTACCATTCACATTTGTTTAACTCAAATGTTAGAGCTTATGGTTCTATGCAGGCAGCCCCAAGTGATATCTGTAGGAGAAAGTTTCTGTCACACCTGCCAATTTCCAAATTACTGACACAGAGGCTTAACATTAATTATAAATGATTGGCCAATAGCTTAAGTTTATTACTAACCAGCCCTCATAATTTAAATTAGCCCATTTCTATTAATCTACATTTTGCCACATGGCTTTTATCTCTATCCCATTTTGTGTGTCCAACTCATTTGGCATCTGCCTGGCAACCCTCTGATTCTGCCCTTCTCCTTCCCAGCATTCTCAGTTTTGCTTTTCTACCTAATTCTGTTCAGCTATTGGTCAGTCAGATTGTTTATTAAACCAATCACAGCAACAAATCTTCACAGTGTAGAAAGAAATTATTCCACAGCATACGTCTGCTTCCCTAGACAGGCTGTGTTATTCTACACATCTCTTTTGAAAGTTGTCAATGAACTTTCATGGTTTCAGCAGTCACAGCAGATGAACATGGCCAGTCTAAAATCTAAACCCAGTGTACTGTCCATCTCAGGGAATGCCTACCTTTTACCTAAAGGCAATGCTGAAGGGTTCCATCTCAATGCTGAAGGGGTCCATCTTAATACTGAAGGGTTCCATCTCAATTCTGAATGATTCCATCTCAATGCTGAAGGGTTCCATCTCAGTGCTGAAGGGTTCCATCTCAATGAGGACATTCTAATCACCCCAGCAAAGTGACTTCTAAGATTTCCCCCTCTCCTCTCCCTTCCTTTGAATGTTGTTTGGTGATGACCTTGTTTTCTGTTTTATTTGATACTGAACCCTTCCATAAATAATTTTATCAGCCAGGAAATACTGTAGAAATCTTTAGATGTATAATAATTTACTAATTTCCAATTAACTAATTTGGTTCTGGAAATGCGTGCAATAACTAGACATGAAATCAAATACTCTATATTTACCAATTACCTAATTGATAGAATTACCTAAGTATTCTGGGGGGAAAAGTAACACCAAAAAAAGATTTCATTGTCAGGTAAGTTTGAAGTATATTGAATTAATATTAAGCAGGTTTCTTAACCACAAGACTCTTGGAGTCTTTAATGTAGTAGTATAAGTCATGTATTCCTAGTATAGTCCTTATGAACTAGCTTATCATGGGAAATGTCTTGAAGTTACTTTAAGGAACATACTTGAGAAAAGAATACTATAGACTGTAGCATGTTGCTTGTCCATCAGTTATATGATGCCAAAATACAGTTTATATTTTCTACAGTTTGTAATTGTGTTTGTGGTCTAGAATTAGGTTACCTTGGGATTTGGTTTATAATTTTAGCAAAAGCACCAGACTAGACCTTTGTTTTCTGTCATTTCAACAAACTCCACATTTCAGATCCATACTTCATACTCTATAAAATTTACTTTTAAGCATACTATGAAATTTTGACCAGTGTCTTATGAATGGATTTTGTTTCTATTCTTCTCTGAAGAACTACTTAAAATTAGTATCATTGTCCCTATATCCAATGGCAACATGTGTTCATTGCTGACACATATATCTACTTACCAGTTTTCACTCCATTTTGGCAGTTTGATATTAGAGGAGAAAGGTTTTTGGAACAGCATTAAGGTCTATCCCAAGTAAATATTTAATTCCCATGCTGAATGTAGAGTTCTAATGCTTGCTTATTAAAGAATCAACATATTATTTTCACAAATACTTCACATCCATTTCTTTCTCTTGAAACTAGTTTCTCTTATTTCCTTCAAAGTATCAGAGATTCTTTACTGATCATTTCTTTAGTTACCTTGGGTAAATTGTGAAAGAGTTTACTCATAAGATATCAATGAAATAGCAATGCATACTTCACACAAAGATCTAGTCAAGGCACTGAAGTTTTAGAGGTTACACGATGGAATCATTTTATCTAAATTCATATTGGAAATATCAGATATAACTAATAGCACAGAGAAGACGGTTGTGTTTTGAATGAACGTTGTTTTCAGCCTCCACAGAGGTGTTCTGTGATGCTGTGTGGCACAAGAACTTCAATTCAAGCATTTGCTACCAGTTCAACCTGCTTTCATCTCTCTCCTGGAATGAGGCTCATGTTTCATGTCAGATGCAAGGAGGTGCTTTATTAAGTATTATAGATGAAAATGAAGAAAACTTCATAAGGAGTAAGTATGGGAATGATGCACATTGATATTGATGCAATAAAAATGCCTATTGTGAACCATTCTGTTCTTGGATACCAAAATATACCCTTAAAAATGTTTTTCTTTTCTTAATATAGCCCAAGTTCTAATTTTGAATATTTAAAACTTAATTTATTCAGCGTGTGTGTTTCTGTATGCACACATGCAAATGTCAGAGACCATTTCTCCTTCCAGTGTGTGGGTTCTGGGGATCAAACTCAGGTTGTCAGACTTAGCGGCAAGTGCTCTTATTCACTGAGCCATATCACCTCCCTTCTAATCCTGATTTTTTTTTTCATTTTTTTGAGACAGTTTCTCTGTGTAGTCCTTCCTGTCCTTGGACTCACTCTGTAGACCAGGCTGGCCTCAAATTCAGAAATCCACCTGCCTCTGACTCCTGAGTGCTAGCATTAGAGGTATACACCACCACAGCCTGGCTCTGAATTTTTATATAAACACTGTGCCATTCTATCTGGCACCTACTCACATCTTAGTTTTCTCCTTGGGGAAGAGAATTTAAAGCTATAGTGTATGACCTAGGTGAGCTTCAACTCTTGAAAGCAGATCAGAGGAACTCTAAAGTTAAGATTCTTGTCATCTGCAGAATTTAGACACTCAATTCCATGGATAAATAATTATATTTATTAATATAAATATATTTATTAATCTATTTTTAATAGCATATTCATCATTCATGGTGTGCAGGCTCATCACAAAACCTTTGGGAAATACCAAAATTTTAATATTAGCGGAAAAATAAAAAACACCTTCATGCTAACTAAATAATATAAGACAATACTATTTCAAGGTGCCAGCAGTGATGGGATGAGAGAAACAGTTTTAGTTTGCTCCCACAGCAGGCTAAAGTGGCCCCTTTCCCTTAGAGACTGCCATTCAGGCAAAATTGAGATTGTGGCTTTGACAAAGAAAATAATTTTATGGATCCTCAATATTATATAGTTGGAGATTTATGAAAAGACATTCTAACATAGCTCCTAAGATACAGGATCAAAACAAAGTGTAGAAGTGGCCATTCCTAGTATGGTTTGAGTCTGCAATATACTGTTGGGGAGACAGCTTTCCTATGACTGCTATCTTTAAAGCATGACTTGAGACATCAGTGTACCAGACTTTATGGAAATATCCTCCTGGATAAGCTATTATTTATTTTATCTGATCCAACAATGGGATGTGAACAATGCTATGGGATTTTTATCTCCATTTCTAATAACACTTATTTTAATAAACATCACATGGACCTTTAGCCAGAAAACAGAAACAAAGAAACCATGATGAAAGGCAGAACAGGCAAGGAATAAATCAGGGAAACTCACCAACAATACTTCCGTCGGGTCCCAGACAAGCCCCCACTTTGTCAATGGTGATAAGCACAGAGGCACAGCTACACTCTATCCCCCACATCAGCCTGAAGGTTTCCTAACTGTTAGGAACCTCTATTAACAAACAGAATTTGTTGCTCAGTGACAGAAAAAAGAGTTTAAGAGTAAACCAATATGAAACAGGAATAGAGATTTATTAAATGTCAGTTTTAACATGATCATAAACACAGGGGTTAATTGAGAAGCACTCAGGAAAGAATAAAGCCAAAACATGGGTATCGTCATCTCAAAAGAGAGTCTATTGAGGTGTTTTTACAATATTTGTAGAATTTTGGTGGCCTCAAGTTACATCTCTGAAGGTTGCTCAGAAATCATTCTTGTCCCATTTTTAAACATTTCTCAGAGATATACACCAATGTTAAAAATTAAAGAATGTTCTTTTAAACAAAGTTAGGAATGTGAACACAATGTGAGAAGTCAAATAATTTTAGGCTCAAGCATGTACAATATGTTTCTTATCTTGGACAAGATAGCTTTACAAAAAAATATTGTCTCTATAAGCAATATTGGCCCTATCAGTGTCCAGTGTCACCTGAAGTTTCCTGACTCCATCAACAGTACAGGTAAGCCAGACCGGGGATGCAAGGACTATTTATTTTCATGCTTTCCCTCCCATGTGCCAACAACTTTTCATAACTTTCAAACCCTGTCTCCAACAGGATTGTGACAATGAGCTGGAACTTGTGTTTTTCTCTGTCATTCAACCTTCCTCTTCCTCTTTTTAGATCAAGTTCATTTGTGTACCTTTTAAAGGGTTATTTGGGGCCTGGCAGGGTAGTTCAATAGGTAGGGGTGCTTGTGTACAAGCCTGATGACCTCAGTTCAATCCTTGTGTCCCACAATGAGGCAGGAGAGAATCAGGTCTCAGCCTGCACACACTCACCATTGCACACAAGTATCTACCCACACATATTAATAATCTGCTAATTTTAAAAATTAATTTGGAAGCATTAAGAACTATCAAACTAGTTACTTTTATTGAGTTTCTGATGCAATTTTTCTTCAAATCTTACTTCATTTGTAGCTTTAGAACTTGAAATTCAACCATATAGAAAGAAAAGCAATTGGGGGTGAGGGATCTGCCATACTTCTACAATTCAGTATTAACCATGTCCTGCAAAAACAAAAAAAATGAGTGCGTTCAGACATAGTGTTCTAGTTTGCTTTCTAGTGCTGTGATAGACACCATGGCCAAGAGTCATTTGGGAAAAGAAGGGTTTATTAGTTTATTTCTTTGTACAATTTCAGATAATAGTCATCCCTGAGGAAAGTCAGGGCAGGAGCTCAAGACGGGAACCAAAGCACAGACAATGAAGGGATTCTGCTTACTGGTTCTGCTTAGTCTGCTTTCGTACACAACGGAGGACCATATGCCCAGGGGTGGCACCAGACGCAGTGGGCTAGGCCCTCCCACATCAATCATCAATCAAGACAATGCCCCACTGACTTGCCACAGGCCACGCTGATAGCAGTATTTTCTCAATTGAGATTCTCTCTTTCCAGATGACACTGGCTTGTGTCAAGTTGATAACCACAACAAACAAAACCTAGTCAGTGATATCCATGGAAATTGGTACTGTATAAAACACAAGTTGCTGTTATGCAGTACATAGATGCAAGGAAGAGCGGATACACCCGTCTGTGTTTGAATCCTCCCATGACCACCTACTGGCAGTTACTCAAGAAGTGATTTAGCCTCTTGACATGTCAGTTTTCCCCTCTGTCAAGTGGAAATAATGATAGTAGCTTCTTGGTGATGTATATTATATATTATTATAATGCAGGGAGAGACTTAGGAAAATGCCTGGCATGCATAATGAATGGTGTGGGTTCACCAATTAACAGCTGTGTACACAATTTTATTCAATTCACCCTCATGTGTTCCTATCTGTAAAGGTGAGTATATAGTTCTATATTGTGGTGTGTGTGTACTACATGTGAGGCTTATGTTTATGGGTGTGCAGATGCATGTGTTCCTACACACACACGGTTGGAGGCCAGAACAAGATGTCAGGCATCTTTCTGTATTACTCTCTGCCTTATTCACAAGTTCTGGAGTTTTTGTATTTTCCCCCAAATGTTGAGGTTACAGGCATCCCAGTGACATCCAGCTTTTTAATGTAGATGTTGGGCATTTGAACTCAGGCCCTAATGCTTGCAGAGTGAGCACTCTTACCCATGAGCCATCATTTCAGCCCTATATCTTGTTACTCCATTTAGTTATACAAAAATAGTTTACAGCATGGTAGTGTAGCTTTGTAGTAATGTACTACTCTGCTGTTGAAATAGACAAATAAAACTGTTTTGCTGTGTGTTTGTTGTTGTTGCTAGTCATTCCCATTTAAAACTTTGTGCAATGCCCTAGTTGCTCATTCCAGTGTTTGTGGAATGAGAGTCACTGGAGGGAAGAAGAAACAGCCTTACAGCTTTAAAAGCCAGAGACATGCATGCTTGCCCTTCCCCCACAGTTCTGCACAAGTAGGGAATTATCATCAAAACTAATTTGAGTGAATCTTATTGGAGTAAAATACCAATTTCCAAAATCATTACTAATGTGTAATGGGTCTTATGCAAGAGCGTGCACACCATTTATGAATCACAGTTGTTATCTATCTTAACTGCCATGGTCTCTCATGGGAGAATTTTGTACCTATTCATCAAGCTTGAATAGCAATTTTAAAAAATAAGATCTGTCACTGGATTTTATTTAAACATTTCAAGTCTATAATTAGGCTTTGGGAATTGTTTGGGAAAATAGAAGTCTATTCATAAAGACAGAAAATGTCCTAATCAAAGTATTTTAAATGTTGACACAAGTCTAGCATCTCTTGCTAGTCACTGGTGAATGAAAATTGTGAGATAAAGAAATATCTAGGCTGTCACAAATGACAGAAACATCCAAAAGAATTTAGTTCCGAATTTGTATTTATGTGTTAAGGGTAAATTTAGTTATAAAGGTAAATAGACTGGTGGGGAGTTGTTTGTTTGGTTGGTTGTTTTTTGCTTGTTTTGTGTGTGTGAACACCTTTAAACATGAATTACAAATTGCACGATGCTTTCTTGTGGTTTAGTAAACAAAATTGCACAGTTTTGAGCATGTGGAGTAATTCCAAGAATAATTAATACTTGAATTAGGTTATTTGAAAAACCACTTAGCACTTTGCCTGAGTATGGAACATGAATATGTCTCCCTGTCTTGTCAGTGAGTCTTCCAGTCCACCTCTCGTCCTCACGGGAGGGTTAACTGATTTAATCCAACAGTATTATTGAAAGCAGGAAGCAGGTGGATATCAGGAAGAGACTGGGTATAATGCCACAAAACCTTGAACATGTTCATGTACAACAGAGAGACATGGACAGAAACAAAGACAGACAGATAAAGAGAGAAGGAGAGGGAGAGGAAGGAAGGAGGAGGGAAGTGAGTGAATTATTCTGAAGCACACAAACCAGAAGAAAACGGTGTTCTCCTTTGCAGAAGGAAAGTCAAGACAGCAATATCTGGGAGAGACACAAAATTAGCCATTTCCACTAAAAGTCATGACATGGGTTGTTGTACAAAATAGAAAAACGTACACACTAGAAAAATGTTTCTCGACTTAGGCACACTGAAAGAAAAACCACAATTTCTACAGGCACATTTTTCTGTGCAAGTATGTCAGTCAGTTGTGTTTATTTACAGTATTCATTGCACAAACGTGGTTGGATTAACTGGTGAGTTGCTGCAGCACCATGGTTAGAAACAAGAACCACAGAACTGCAAAACCCTCTTCTCAAGTGTGCTGGGCCCTGGCCTGGGTCCCTGCTGCTGAGGCCTCCAGAACACTGGGCTTTTACACTGTGATGCTTCCAGGTAGCTCCCAGAAGCTCAAGCTTCAGCTCCCCTAAGTGTGAGCACTTGATTCCATTCCCTCTCTGGGGGTGACCCTGGACATCTGCACCTCCGCCGTCTAAAACTGGAAGTGTGTGAGCTGGGGGAAATGGGAGAGCTTCCAATCCTTAACAGGGCATCTTCAGACAGATCAGAGGTGGCCACTGCTTATTGATGTCAGCGGGTCTTCAGAAGCTTGCCGGGTGACTGCGGATGGCCAAACCCTGCTTTGTCACACTGAAGCTCCAGCATGAGGGTCATAAGACCTGTTTTTATCATAGTCTAGCATTACCTGTGGCTTTATGACATGAAGAAATAGCAATTTGATAAAGCGCGGGAGTGCCAAGTTTGACTTTGATTTTGTTCTGTCTGTCCTCTTTTCTGTTCAAATGCCATGATCATCTTTTCAGGGCAGCTGAGCAGGGAGGCAGTGGAAGTGTGGATTGGTTTGAATCAGCTGGATGAAAAGGCTGGCTGGCAGTGGTCTGATGGGACAGCGCTCAGCTACCTGAACTGGAGCCCAGGTACCCACAGCATCTCCTTTACCTTCAACATGTGGGGCACGTTGTAGACTTAAACCTAGCAGTCCTATAAAAATATCTCATTCTGTTGAGTGCTCAATGACTTTTTTCCTTAGGTCAGGATCTCCTATGCTATCCAAGCAAGCCTGAAGCTCTTGATTTTCTTGCCCAGACCTCTCAAGTGCTGGGATGTAGGTGTATGCCTCCACACCTCATAGTTTATAAATATAGTTTTAGCATTACTGAGTTCTTTTAAGGCAAGCTTTGCAGAAGGCAGAAGCCAGAAAGATAATCTATTTAATTATCATTGCAGCAGAATCGGGGTCAGAGATAGACTGCTGCTTTCAAAATAGCAACAAATTACAAAATATTTCTCTACTCTAAAACAACGAAAGTGGCTCTTTAGGCATCTTTGGAAAATCAGTACATTGTCATGCCTAGACTTGAACTTGGAAATCACAGATAATATAACAAATGTCCTGTAGGGGGCGCTAAGTAAGACGACTTAAGGGCTAACTTTAAGGGCTTTAGGCTTTAAGGCTAACTTAATGGCAATCTTAAGGGCTAACGTTTGTGCTGAAACTACATTTCCATGCGTATTCATTTTCAGAGATAAATGCTGGGCCATTTGTTGAGTATCACTGTGGAACACTGAAATTTGCCTCAACTGCCTGGAGGAGCAGGGACTGCGAGTCTACCTTGCCTTATGTATGCAAACGGGATCTAAACTCCACTGCTCATGAAATACTTGGTAAGTGCTCCTTCCATCTTCTTTGGTTGTTCACATGCCCACTCCATGCGTTAAAATTTTTCTATTTTTGCTAATAATTGAGACTTCAGAAAAATTGAGTTTATGGTTATATGAATAAAAATGTTTAAGTGATCCCTGTCATCCTAAAGCAACACGACCTCAACAACTGCATTTGCTCAGAACTACAGCAAAGTAATATGAGCCAAGCAGACATGTCTTCCTTTCTTTTAAAGGTCTTCACTCTTCTTCATTTCACATTAGGAAGCCAATGTATGCTTTCTCTTGTGGTTTTGAGTTTTATTTGTGGGATTCCTCACACTTGATAAAAAGGAAATAACTTAGAAGGAGTTTTTATTATGTTTATTTTCTCTTTTGTTCACTTTTTAACATAAGAACTGTACATGGTTATGAAGTACGATGTGTCTTGATCCATATGTGTATTGTTCAATGATCATCGTATCCGTTACTTCAAACTTTGAATAAACAGGACAGTTCACTCTGACTCCAGCCCTCTATTTCAGGAGGTTTCTACCACATTTCATGTCTCATATCAGTAACACACTTTCCCCACTAAAATACTGGGCAAAATTTGGGTTATAATTAAGACTCCAATAATACCTACTTATAATCTAGTATGATATAACCTAGTCCAATTCTATCATTTTCACTGTTGTTTATTTGTCTGCATATATGAGTGCGTGCATTGTGTATGCGCTGATAGTGTCCAGTGTATGTACAAGGTGTATGCATGTGGTGTGTGTGCACATGTATATGGGTGTGCACACCCATGTGAGTGTCCTGAGGCCAGAGGATAACATCAGCACCATTGATTAAAAAGACTTTTCTTGGCCGGGTGTTGGTGGCGCACACCTTTAATCCCAACACTCCACAGGCAGAGGCACTGGGATCTCTGTGAGTTCGAGACCAGCCTGGTCTACCAAAGCTAGTTCCAGGACAGCTTCCAAAGCCACAGAGAAACCCTGTCTCAGAAAAAGAAAGAAAGAAAGAAAGAAAAAAAGAAAGAAAGAAAGAAAGAAAGAAAGAAAGAAAGAAAGAAAGAAAGAAAGAAAAAGAAAAGGACTTTTCTTTCTCCATGTTCTTATGACATCTTTATCTGTTTTTATGTTTTGTTTTTCAAGACAGGATTTCTCTGTGTAACAGCCCTGGCTGTTTGTAGACCAAGCTGGCCTCGAACTCACAGAGATTTGCCTGCCTATGCCTCCCAAGTTCTGGGGTTAAAGACGTGCACCACCACCCAGCTGTTCTTAAGACTTCCATTTAAAATCATTTGCAGCAATGCATGCTCTCATGTCTCAGTTCCATACACTGTTCCACTGTTCAGTGTGTCTGTCTTTATGCCAATCCTATACTCTTTTTGAATACTAGGGTTTTGTAGCATGTTCCAAGGCCAAATAGTCTAACACCTTCTGTTTTGTTCTCTTTACCCAGGGTGGCTTTGTCTATTTGAGGGATTCATGGTTTTAGATAAAATTGAGTCTCTCCCTTTTAGGTCTATGAAGAACATCACTGGTATTTTGATAGGAAATGAACTGATTATGCAAGCTACTTTGGGTAGTGTGAGCATTTTAATGATAGTGATTCTTCCAATCCATGTACAATGAACGTCTTCCCAGTTTTTGCATTCTCTTCAATTTTTTTCATTAATGTTTTATAGACTTCATTACAGAGATTTTTCAACTCTGGTAATTTTTTTCTTACTCTATTTTTGGTAGTTATTATAAATAGGTTTTATTTCTATATCAGATAATTCACTGTCACCAAATAGCAACAGTCCTGAATTTGATGTATTGTGTCCTACAACTTTGAATTCATTTATTATTTCTAATAGTTTTTTCTGTGGGGTTGGGGAGGGTCTCTTTGTAAGATGATGGCATCTACACACAGGGACAGTTTGAATCCTCTTTATTTCCTTCTTTTGCCCAATTGCTCTGGTGAGGACTCCAGAAACTGTCAGACAAAAGTAGTGAGAGTGGGCACATTGTGACAGATCTCAAGGAGAAAGCTTTCAGCTCTTTTCTGTTCAGTTTACACTATAAAGAATTTTTTAAAGCAATAAAGGGTTGCTGGGTTCAATGCTAAGCACCACATACACCAGAAAGAAGAAGCAGGAGGGTCAGAAGCTTAAGGTCATCCTTGGCAGAAGCTCCAGGCCAGCCTGGACTATTTGAGGCCCTGTACTTAACAACAACAATGACAATAATATCTGTCAAAATACTCCTAAATGTAGGGTGAAGGGAGGAAACATAGAAGGGATATTTAAAAATGCTCAAAATAAAAGGCTTTCAAAAACAAAATTTGATGAATATACGAAGGGATAAAAGTGTAGGGGAAATTCAAAATGGACAATACCAAAATCACAGAGTGAAAAGAGGAGGTCCTGGGGTGACTTCTTTCTGGGTTCCCAGAAATTGGCCACTGCTCGTTTCAAGTATGGAGGGGTTGGTCAGCTGAACATGAAGACTCTTGTCCTGTTGTTTTTGTGACTGCTGAATCTAAATTGGACAAGTGTTAATGTGTGGCAGTTGTCTTTATAACAGTGGTTTTCCTTCTTGGCAATACCAGTGGCTTCTGCTGGCCACACTTACCTTTGCATTCTATGACACGGGTAAATATTCTCACCCTCCTGAGACTCCTGATCATACTCCCTGGGGTGGCTAATGTTTTACCTGAGGGTTGTCCTCAGGTGAAAGAAGTGACCACAGAACTAAAATAAGTACAGATGGAGAACCCACCTTCATACTCAAGACTTTTTGAGTACTTAGTTCCTTTTCTACCCTGTGACAAAATACCATGATGAAGACAACTTATAAAATAAACATTTAATTAGGCTTATAGTTTCAGAGAGTTAGTGTTGTTGTTTTGTTTAAGTTTAAAAATATAAAAAGAGGCACAAGATGAGACATGAGAACGAGAGACACATTAACCTTAGTTTATTCCAGGTGGGGGAGGGGGAGAGGAAGGCAAGAGAGACAAATAAGAGAGAGAAGAGAGCAAAAAGAGCGTAAGTGGGCAGGGGTCTGTCTTTTAAAGTGGTCCTTTACACCTGCGTACAGACTTAGTTCCCATGGAACCCTGGGCTGACCAGGGTACCTCCTGAGTGGATTCTGCCAGGTAACAGGACCAGGCCAGCATAATGCCTGAACTTTTCAGTTAGAGCCTATGGCAGCACAACAAAGGTATGGTGGCCAGAACAGCTGAGAGCTCTTGATCCACAAGTAGGAAGAGAGGGCACACTGAGAGTAATGGGAGGCTTTTGAAACCTCAGAGCCCACCCACAATGACACAGCTCCTACAACAAAGCCACACCTCCCAATCCTTCCCAAACAGATCAGAGTAAAAATCAATAAAATGGAGATAAAAAATACAAAATGTCACTGAAACAATGTACTAGAGTTCTTCAAACACAATAGACAATCCCTTAGCTCGATTAGGGACCCCAAATTTAAGTGTATGAGCCTACAGGGGCCATTTTCATTCAGTGTTAGTGACCCTGCTGGAGGGATGGTGTGGTATCACACATACTTTTAGAACTGCAGAATTCTCAGACTCCATCACTCTACTCCAGTGAATAATGGATAGGTTATTCAAAGATCAGAGCTATCCAACTCCAGGCTTATTCTCAGGTGATGAGCTGTGGGGTTGTTTGTTTTGGTTTGGGTTTGGGTTTTTTCCCAGACTTTCTCCTTCACCAGTTTTCACAGAGGTATCCTTTAGTCCACCATCATACCCACAAGTCAATGTCTTCCTTTCCATCTCTGGTTTTACTTGAGTCTTTTTGTTTTGTCTTAATCGAGCTAAGAGATTGTCTATTGTGTTTGAAGAACTCTAGTACACTGTTTCAGTGACATTTTGTATTTTTTATCTCCATTTTATTGATTTTTACTCTGATCTTCATTATTTCTTTCCCTCTGCTAATTTGGAATTTGGTTTGTTCTAGTTTTTCTGGCCCCTTGAGGTGCAGCAAGGGACCTGGTGCAGCACTGAATTATTTGAGTCTTTTCTACCATTCACACGTACGGGGTGATAGCTATGTTCTTCTGCATCAATGCTGCCTTTGCTTTGGCCCATAAATTTTGGCATGTTGTGTCTCTATACACACCTATTCAAAAGAATTTTTAAATTTTCTTCTCCATTTATTGGCTGCTCAAAAGTCAATCATTTCATTTCCATGCATTAGCATGGCTTCCTCTTTCTTGTTGCTGCCTTCTAGTTTTATTGCACTGCGCTGAAAGAAATAGTCAATATGATGTCAGTTTTTGTCCACTTGTTGAGACTTGTCTTGTGGCCAGGCACATTATCTGTCATGGAGAAAAATTTATGCTGATGAGGGAAAACATCAGGCAGCTGTTGGAATGTTCTATAGACATCTGTAGGGCTATTTGGCCAGGGGTGCAATTTGACTCTGCAGTTGCTTGGTTGGCTTTATCGTGCAGACAGTCTGTGTGTCACTAAGTATGTGGAGCCACTGTATCCCCGAGTCCCTCTCTTCCTTTAAGTCCAGTAATATTTGCCTTGTGTATTCTTTCCAAGGCTAATAAGCTTCTTTAAAGAAGATGTTTTAGCTGGGCGATGGTGGCACACACATTTAATCCCACGCATGGTGGACAGAGGCAGGTGGATCTCTGTGAGTTCAAGGACAGCCTGGTCTACAAAGAGAGTTCCAGGACATCAGAGAAACCCTGTCACAAAAACCACAAAACAAACAAAGAAACAAAAAGCAGCAGCTGTTTTAGATTGGGAGCTCTCCCCGACTGATTTCTAGCTGGTCCACTTCTAGAACCTTCTTTTGAGTAGGCATGGTTTTTTGAAAACTCCCAGTACTTATTGTCATGCTGCAGCAACTGGCCATCAAAGAACTGGCTGTTTATTTTGTTTTTCCTAATCTGGCTTTGTGCCCTTCTTCCTAGAAATGCTAACCTGGATACTTGTTTTCTCACATCCTGTATGTCAGCACCAGATAATGCTCAAGTCCAGTTTGCTAAGAGCTTGGTATTAATACAATGTCACTATTACAGTATTAGAGGGCAATCAAAACCGGTTTTCCCCGAATATAGTTAAAAAAACTAAGAGAACATCTAGAGAGAGAGAGGTCTGTCCCCACAAACCTTTCCCAAGAGTAGGGTAGACCCAAATGCATCATTCACTTACTAACCCACTGTCACACGTTGAAGGATTCTGCCCAGTTCTGAGCAGAGTCATCAGGAATGGACCTATGGCCTCTAGGCTGTGCTGAAATTCAAAGCCCTGTGCTAGCATTCACTCCCTGCTCTCTGCAGGTGGAGTCCTGATTCTGCCTCACCTCCTGAAGTTGGAAGGCAGGTGCTGGTTACAGCCAGCTTCCTGGGCAAGGGCAAGGTTAGGCCCACAGTCACTAGGTTTGTGGCAGGAGTTGCAGACCTCTGCCTAGCACTGGGTCTCACATCTAAGACTACACTTAATTCTGTCGTCCTCCTCTAAGTAAGAGGGGTCTCTGTCCTGTGCTGCTTGGGGCTGGGGAAAGAATGAAAGGGATGACACAGGGACAGTTCCCTCCTACTTTCTTCATTGTCTTCTCATTTCATTGGACTAAAAGGAGCCACTATAGCATCTTGTCTGCTATTCTTGCCTCTTCTGAAGAAAGTCTGGTGAGAATCAAGGGAGAAGTTTTCTGTTTCACTGTTGGAGAGTAGAGACTGAACCCCCACAGCTAGTACGCTAGATAAGCACTCTTCCAGCCCTTCACACCATCTCACTCAGCCTCTTGGGGGTTCAACCTCTCAGGTGCTACCACTGTCTCCTTCTCAGAAACTCCTCTTTGAACTTTTTTCTTACATTGAGAGTGAAGTTCAGAATAACTTCCTTTGGTTTTTTGTTGTTGTTGTTGTTTAGGTTGATAACCATTGACAACATCTAACATTGACAAATATTCTAAGATTCTCTGACTCTGATTCTAATTAAGGTCAGAGTCCTAATAGCAATTTTGAAAGAATTGTTTCTCAAAAAGTAATGAAACCATACCTAACTGAACTAGTTCCTAAGGGAGACACTTGCTACCAATTAATAAGATATCCCCAAAATGCAATCACCAATCAGGGACAAGCTCCCCAAAAAAACAAGAGCTGAAACAGGACCTGCACACCAACACCTTCTAAGCATCCAAAGCTTCAGGCAGTGGACCCTGGGAAACTTAATCCAGAGTTCACATCCATCCAGTGTGACACCACAGATACAACAGTGACCTTGGGGACGATAGTGAAATTTCATCATCCCTGTTCTAAAGGAAGTAAACAGAATTTTATGCTCTTTTAACTCGAGGATAAGTATCTGCTCTAGCTACCTACTACCTACTACAAAATCCTTAGATGCCATTTAAATTATGTTCCATAACAGAACTTTTATAATATGAAAACATTTTTAAATAAGCCAACCAGTTACCTTGTCTGTCTGTCTGTCTGTCTGTCTGTCTGTCTGTCTGTCTGTCTCTCTCTCTCTCTCTCTCTCTCTCTCTTTCTCTCATGTGTGTGTGTGTATTTGTGTGTGGTGTTGCCTGTGTGTATGTATGTGTACCGTGTATGTGTAATCAATGCTTGTATAGTCCAAAAAAGGGCTCCAGATCCTCTAGAACCGGAGTTACAAGTGATCGTAAGTCACCATGTGGGTGCTAGGAATCAGCTTTGTGTTTTACATAGTAAAAGTAGTCACACTGATGGCAATTTGTATAAAGGGGTTAAATAATGTTGGAAGTAATTGTGCAAGTGATGATCTTTGTGTTGATTTATAAAGAAAACGACTCTTGGAAATACCATGCCACTCACTGTGATCCTGACTGGACTCCCTTCAATCGTAAATGCTACAAACTTCAGAAGGAAGAAAAGACCTGGCATGAGGCCCTTCACTCTTGCCAGACTAATGACAGTGTGTTGATGGATGTGACTTCATTAGCAGAGGTGGAGTTTCTTATAAACCTTCTTGGGGATGGTGAGCACCAAAGACCTTTGATTTAAGACCTATGAAATAGCATGTTACTACTTTTTAATTAGAGTTTAAAAGAAATTAATTAAACTACTTAAAAGTGATTGTTTATTATATATATTTATGTTTTATATATAATACGTGAATATATGGAATATATATGTTTCTAAAAAATATCCAGAAACACAACTCACTGGATTTTATAAGACATATATTCAGAAGCTATGTAATGTATTCACATTTGCCAAATAGATTATACACACACACACACACACACACACACACACACACACACATATAAATTTATGGAAGACAGAACAGAAGGATTCTGAGAGTCAGATGACCAGGATGCCTGCTGTGAGATAGCATCTTCTAGACATAACAGGGAAATGGCACACATGAAATCTTAACAATACAGTTGATTAATAAGACCTGCATTATGACAGCACCAGTTGACATGCCAAAGAAGATAGGGGAAATCTCAGGGGACCCCACCCCTAAATGAAGAGCTCTAGCCAATCAATGGCTACAGAGAGAGGAAGTGTCAGTTTTCTCCAGGGACGAGCCCCCGGTAGGTTATTCAATCTCAAGTGGTCAGCCTAAACACATACACATGCGTGCAGCACTAACTGGACTCCATAGATTATATACATATATGTAACAAAATAATTAAGAAGAGAGCATGAATTTGGGAGGGAGGATAGTGGGACACAGAATAGAGAGGGAGAAGGAGGGGTAGAACTGATGTAAAGATAATACACATTAAATTCTCAGAAAAAATGAAAAATTTAAATTTAAAAAAAATCTGAAGGTGTAGAAGTCATTCCTTGCTCACACCTTTAATCCAAAAACCAAAAACATACCTTGATTCTAGGCGGTGAGACCTTTGCAATGGTAGGTTTTAGTTTGCAAACATAAATACTTCTATGTCTTTTCACCTAATCCTTTGCATTTGGGATTAAAAGAACCATGCAGTGTCCCCTGTAACAACAAGGACACTTGACTGTCTCTCTGCTACCTGCTACCTAGCGTTTCCCAGTGCATCCTGGCTGTGAGGCTTTGTTTGTTTTTCCAGAAACCCCACTGTTCTGTGTTAAAGCCAGGGAGAGCTTCTGCTAGCTTTATTGTGTGGGGCTGAGGAGGGGAGAGACAGAAAAGCATTCAACTTACATTATTGTTAAGAGTTCTGTTGTTGGTGGTGTTTTTAAATATTCCCCTTTCAAAATCCAATTAACCTCTTAATTTTCCTTTTCTCTAGGCAGAAGCAAAACTAGACATTTCAGGTCACTTTGAATATAGTGGAGAAGCTGGAGTGCTAGACTTGCTTTGGGTTTAGCTCATATTCTACCTTACTTGGAAGGCCTGGATATTAAGAGGAAAGAGGTTTAGACAGATATTTCATGGTGAGATTCAAACAAGATTTATTGAATAAAGGAATAAAGAGAATCACACATGAAAGGGTATAGCTCACTGAGAACCTCTGTGTGCCAAAAGTATGCAAATAATGTCTAAAAATAATTTACATTTATTTCTTACAGAAAATGCATCAGAAACATGGATTGGCTTGAGTAGCAATAAAATTCCAGTTTCCTTTAGATGGTCCAGTGGCTTGTCTGTCACGCTCACTAACTGGCAGCCTCTTGAGCCTCAAGTTTTTCCACAGAGAAGCCAACTGTGTGTCGCAGCAGAGCAATATGTAAGTTGAATCATTCGATCAGTTTCATGGCACTGACACTGAGAACCTCGTAGGCCCGGGTCTTGTGTCATGGTACAGACCAAGAGAGGCAGACACTGCTCTTCATGGGCTTCCTTACACATGGTAAGGGCTATAAGCATTACTCTGAGGAGAGAGGGAAAAAGCTTGGATTAGAGCAGATGCTGCAGATAGGGTAGGTAGGGGTGGGACGCCTCTCTGAACAGATGATATTTAAGTGAGGACTTCAAAAGAACAAAAATCCTTACAAAACAGAGGAAAACCGTTCCAAGAAAAGCACAAAGGCAGACAAAGGCTTGCCCTCTTCAATAGCCAAACAAGTGACTGGTGGTAAGGAGGTGACAGATGAGACAAGGGGAGTACAAAAAATACCGGTTTATATGCCAAGGTATAGGAGCCATTAGTGTTTCAAGGACACAGAAGGAGAAATCTGACTTGAAAAATAACTGTGATCATAACATACACAATGGATTGGAGAGGACAAACTAGCAGAGACACAATTTGGTGGCTGTTCCATGGCTGGTCTAGGGTGGAGGCTATGCAGAAAAGAGAAGAGAGAGAATCATGTTTCAAATAACAAGATTCATTGCTAACTACATTTTATGCGGAGGGTCAGAGGCAGGTTTTTGTTTGTTTGTTTGTTTGTTTGTTTGTTGTTTTGTTTTTTTATTTGAACAAATGCCATTTTGGTAGACAGTGGTGGGGCTTACCATCCTGGTGCAGAGATGGGGAAGAGAAAAGCTGGAGGACACTGGAGAGTCATAGTTTTAAAGCTCCATTAGCTTATTAACATAAAAACCATGGTGCAGGATGTGAAATCTCTTTGAAGACTTCAGATGGATGGCAAATCTCACATGAATGGAAGGGAGCCAGTGACTTTAGCATCGTGTGTCTCCCACTTCTAGGAGACTTCAGATTATGCAGACTTAGTTTCAGTCCAAAACATCTGAATAGTTTATTAAACATTTTAAACAAATAAGCCTCTCTCTGCTCAAATAGCTCTGGAAGCACTGGCTGAGTTTAAGGAAGCTGGAGGACTTGATAGGTGTCCTCATTCTTTCTAACCACAGGAAGTTGTGTCAAGCTCCCCCCAAGAAACAGCTCATTAAATGCTACGTAAGTAGCTTGACAAAGTAATTGTGCCAACCAAACATGAAAAAAATTTCAAAGCACTTACTTCTGTGACACGTTTCACTTTTGTATCTTTTGAGACTTGCAGAAACATGTGCATTCATAATTAGACATGCTACTAATGTGTGGCTGAGTGGCATTTGGGGAGGAAGCAGCGGTGATCTCTTTAGATGGCTGTCGTGGATCTAGCTCTGCTGAAACCAGCACAGTTACAGGAGCTGATGGGTTTTTTGAGTCACTGGTTTTATATATAATTAAGATGACCTTCATTTCCTATCACCTGCTGTGACTATTTCACTCGCCATATTTAGAGAACGAAAGCTAACATTTGGATAGGGATTGTTTTAATTAGTGTATATTCATTGTACACAGTAATGGGGTTATAATGACATTTTTGTTCAAGCATATCACATATTTTGACCATACTCATCCCTCTTTACCCTTTCATCTCCCTCTTCCCTAACAGCTCCCATATTGCGAATGAGTGCGTGTGTGTGTGTGTGTGTGTGTGTGTGTGTGAGAGAGAGAGAGAGAGAGAGAGAGAGAGAGAGAGAGAGACCTAGGTTCCACATATGAGAGAAACATGGGCTAGTTGTCTTTGTTTCTCGCTTATTTTAATTATGCTCCCTAATTCCTGAATAAGGTTTTATTTTAAGAAAATAAAGATAGATATTGATATTTGTGCTGGCTGGTTTTTATGTCAACTTGACACAAGCTAGAGTAATCTGAGAGGAGGAAACCTCAGTTGAGAAAATGTCTCCATAAGATCAGTCTGTGGGCAAGCCTGAAGGGCATTTTCATATTAATGATTGATAGGAGAGGGCCCAGCCCACTGTTGGTGGGGCTACCCCTGAGCTGGTGGTCCTTGATTCTTGAAGAAAGCAGGCTGATGAAGCCATGATGAGCAAGCCAATAAGCAGCACCAGGGCCTCTGAATCAGCTCCTGCCTCCAGGTTCCTGCCCTGTTTAGTTCCTGTCCTGACCTTTCTTTGATGGTAAACAGTGATGTGGAAGTATAAGCTAAATAAACCTTTTTCTTCTCAAGTTGCTCTTGGTCAAGGTGTTTCAATAGTAACCCTAATTAAGACAATGCTGTTCTGAGAGATTTTTGTAGTGTCCTCTTTTTTTGTAGCTTATTAACTCCTTAAACAATAAGTATATGGAACATTGAAATTAACATTAATTTCCATCAAGTAGATCTTGGTATGAATATAATAATCACATGAATAAGTAATTATTATTATTAATAATTTTGCTTAAATACAGCTAACACCTAAATTTGGAGGTGAGAACTATTCATTTACTCATCCTCCCAACAGCTACACCTGTAGTATGCTTATAGCACAATGATTTTCTGGAAGATTCCATGCGCAAGAGGCACAGTGCTGCTCTTACCAGTGAAGATATCAGCATGGTATTTCCCTGAAGGTCATTGGAGGACTCCATATTCCCCTAAAATCCTGAATATCAAAACTCCACCTAAAGTTTGAATTGAGTAGTTTTCATCTAAGGACCTGTTTTATATTAAGATTTAAAAGTCGTCTGGGACAATACGTAGTCTATTAGCTTATCAGTAAAAGATCTGAATAGCTTTATGCTGGTGGTTCTCAATCTTCCTAATACTGCTATCCATTAATACAGTTCCTTGTGTTGTGGGTGACCCCAACCATAAAATTACTTACATTGCTACTTCATAACTGTAATTTTGCTACTGTTATGAATTGTTATATAAATATTTGATATGCAGGAAATCTGATATGGGTAAAAGGTTCAACCACCAGAGGGGTTGTGACACACAGGTTGAGAACCACTGCTTAGACAGAAGTAATAGAAAACCTTAAAGTGTCTGTATATGAAGAGGAAGCTGGGCTTGGGAGACGCTTGGGAGGTTCTTGGGTATCAAGTACTTCTCAACAGCATGGGGTCCTGAGTTTGGCTCGCTAATGAACATGTAAAACGGGCTTGGTATGTCTATGAATCCAGTGGGGAGGAAGGAATAGATCCCTGGAGCTAGCTGGCTGGCTCAATGAGAGAACCTGTCCCAAAAAATAAGGTGGAAAACAATTGAGAATAACCCTAATGTCAACTTCTGGTTTACACACACATATATGAGCACGCTCACCACCCCCAACACATGCATATCTGCATATACACGTTCATTCACCACACAGGCAACAAAAAGAAAAAAAAAGGAAGAAGAAAGGGGAGGAAGGGAATAAGGGAGGGAGGGAAGGAGGGAAGAAGGGAAGGAGGGAGGGAGGGAAGGAAGGAGGAAAGAAAGAGGAAAGGAAAGGAAAGGAAAGGAAAGGAAAGGAAAGGAAAGGAAAGGAAAGAAAAGGGAAAGGAAAGGAAACTGGGTCTTGGCATGTCTATAATTCTAGCCTTAGTATTTGGGAAGCTGAAACAGGAAGATTGCTGGATTGAAGAAAATGTAGGCTGTGTAGTGAGTTCTAGGCCAGCCTGGAACTGCCTAGTGAGACCCACTCTCAAAAAATTAAATATTTGATTAATTAAAGAGAAAGCTGAGTGAGGAAGGACATTAGAGTCTAACATAAATTTTGACCCTGCGGATGACTCCTGGTAGCTTCCAAGTATTTCCAGAAGCAACCAAAATCCTCCTGGCTTAGGTCCACCCAGCTCTGAGCTGCATTTGTACTCTCACAAGCAGAGTCAGTCACCAGGCTTCTGTGTGACCAGGCAGGGACCACCACCCCACTGGAACTACTTGCTGGTCACAGCTTGGCTCATGACTAACACAGCTACCCACTGACACCCTCACAGAGTCCACTCGCTCATTGTGACACTTTTCCCTTTAGGAAGGACACTGGAAAGTGAAAGGCTGTGAAGAAACACTTTTTTACATCTGTGAAAAAGCAGGGCAAGTCCTTGCTGATGAGGAATCAGAATGTCAAGAGGTAAGTATGGCTAACACGGCAATGGGTACCAGGACTACAGAACTAAAAGAATGTGCCCACCATGTGTTAAAGGTGATCCCTTCTGAGTGAGAATCTCCCCCTTACTAGTCAGATGTCAGCTGGGGTCAGCTGAGGCTTGATAGCTCTCAGAAGGATTTGTCTTACTGTGTACTTTGACCCAAAACTGTTTTTCTTTTTTAAAAAATATAAAAACATAAATGATCAGCCGGGCAGTGGTGGCACAGGCCTTTGATCCCAGCAGTCAGGAGGCAGATATAGGTGGATCTCTGTGAGCTTGAGACCAGCCTGGTCTACAAAGCCAGTTATAGAACATGCAGGACTGTTACACAGAGGAAACCCTGTCTCGTGTGTGTGTGTGTGTGTGTGTGTGTGTGTGTGTGTGTGTGTAAATGATCCTGTTATTCCTTCTGTAAAGACAATGGTAATCATTTGTCATCCCATCTCACACATGGTCTCCACAGTTCTCAAGCAGGATGCCAGAGAGTGTGAACACATTCTTCAGAGGCAGGATTCAAGCTTGTGTTGCCAGGACCCTGCCTCCCTGTTACCCTTCTTAGCCTTAAATGTTGGCACAAAGTCAATGATGAGGAAAGTGTACAAATGACATAGTTGTTACTTGGGAAAGGGATGGTAAGACTGGGTTTGGTATAAGTGACAAGGTATTTTTACATACTTTAAATAAAAGCTATCATTTTCGATTTAAATCTAAAAAGCAGAATAATATATGTTTCAAGTCTCTTTAATGCATTTAATATTTTGCAGTAAAGTTTTTAGCATCTCTGTCTCTCTGTCTGTCTCTGTCTCTGCCCCTCCCCTTGCTCTCACTCTCATTCTGGCTGACCATATTCTAAAATGATACAGACAGTGTTTTATGAAATTCTACTTAATTTCTCCCCTAATCTACCTATTTATAGTCCAACAAGGAGTGGTCCATTTCAGCAGAAGCTATTCTTTCTTCATTAATCAATGTGTATACAGGTGAGCGACCCTGCACACTCCAGCTGACATGCCACCAGATATTCCATTTGACGAGTGCAATTCCTGAATCAGTTCCAGCTGCCTACAGATGTAAAATCTACCTTTCTGTGCCTTTCAAGGCAAGCCAGTGAGGTCACAAGAGCATAACACAAACAACTGATGTGTCCTTTGAACACTCCTTTTCTGCTTCCTCTTCAAGCCGTCATCACCAGTATTTAAAGATTTCATGTCCAGAGATAATTCTTGAATGTTACGAAATTTCCCATTCATTTTAATATGGTTCCCCTGATGCTCTTTTTTTAGCTCATTGCTGCTGTTTTACCTTTGTCACAGGGCTGAGCTTTAAGGCTACTAAGGCCATGGCCTGGGAGGAATTCTGTTCCCCCAGACAATGGCTGTGTTGTTGCCACTAAAGATAGCTTTAACTAAATCTCTATCATTCTAAAGGCTAGGGTGAAACCTTCTAGATGCAGAGAGTTAGAATAGCAATTGGCTAACCTTCTCTCTTTACTGGTATCCCAGAAGCCTCTCTCTTTCCATACCACCCCAACTAAAAAACCCAGGCTATGCTCCTCTATGCTACTTCCTGTCAACCCCGCCTCCCAGGTTAATTTTACATAATTAACACAAATACAATATATCTTTACATAGTTAAACAATGCAGCATAAACAAATGTAACACATCTTTGTCTAGCTAAACAAATATCCCACAACAATTGCTTCAGTAAAATTCTCTAAATAATCAGTCCATGTATAATTAATTTACAAAAATAAGTGCTGAAGCCAGGCATACATTGTGATCCCAATAATCAAGAGGTTAGGGAAAACTGTGAATTTGAGATCAGCCTGGACTCCACAGCAAGCTCAAGGCTAGTCTGTGATACATTGTAAGACCCTGTCTTAGATAGATAGATGATAGGTAGGTAGATAGATAGATAGGTAGATAGATAGATGATAGATAAATAAATGATAGATGATAGACTAGATAGATATTCAGATAAATGATTGATAGATATAGACAGATAAAAGATAAATGATAGATAAATATACAGATAAATGATAGATGACAGACAGACTAGATAGATATACAGATAAATGATAGATATAGACAGATAAAAATAGATAAATGGTTGATAGATAGAAGATAGATAAATAGATAGATAGATAGTCTTGATTATCTTCCCACGAGTCATTTTGGGGCATTGGACAATGTGAGCAGCACTTCCATCTTACTATCCAAAAGCTACTAATAAATAAGACATACTTTGTCAGAAAGGTCAAATGTTCATTGCTCTTCCTCCTGTCCTTCCAACAACAGCCCAGGGATACTTGAGGGGGCTCAGTCTAGAGCTTTGTTATTGAAGCCCCAGAATAGAGTGAAGGTGGGGAGCAAAACAGACCATAGGTGGATGCAGGAACTCTGTGATGGGCTCATTTCCTGGGGTGTTTTTGAGCTCAATTAGCCAATTTGTACAGTGTTCTACAATTAACTACAGAACTAAGACATTTCCAAGAAATGCCCTAGAAATGATATTGTGTCTGACCAAAGCTTGGGATCACTAGAATGGCATGAAATGATGAGCATTTCAAACTGGTGAACAATTAAAATGGATGGATGGAGTCATGTGACTTAGTAATATTAGAAGCAGAAGTTAAGTTGGGTGAGCTGGAAGGAGTGGGAAGCCACTGTGCCGTATGTCTTTAAGGAATAGCCCCACCCTACCTTGTTCCCATGGCTAACTCACAGACCTACAAATTGTCATCTTTGTCTGAGTGCCCAAGCTTATATTCTTCCTCCCACAAAGACCAACCATTTAATTCAGGAAAAATCCTAACCATATATATGTCTCCGTATTAGGGAGTCATTTCTACTTGGAAGCATTATGAACCAAACAAGACCATCCTGGGGGATTTGGATGTAGCTCAGTTGCAAAGGGCTCGCCAAGCATGCAAAGAGCCTGGGTTCCATCCTCAGCTAAGGGTGGGGAGGGGATGGAGGGCAAAACACAATTGCTTTAGCTGGACTCATCGGCTCTTGTAGTCCTAACACCCAGGAGGTTGAGGCAAAAGGATCACAACTTTGAGGCTAACCTGTGCAACTTAGGAGGTTCCAGGTTAGCCAAGTGTGGGCTACCATGACTCAGAACAACAGCAGCAATGAAAAAAAAAATCCCGGGATTACAGAAGAACTAGTAGACCTCCAGTCTGGGCCCAGCTGATCCACTGGTTAGTAAGTCTACTTAAATCTCTAAGAACCCCAAATAGCTGATACACGAAGTCAAACTGAAAATTCCATAACACTCTAATGCTCCCCACTACCTAGAGGCGGGCTCAACTGCACCTCCACGTTGGCTGACTCTACTCAAGATCTCTCCTGCATTTTCTCCTTTGACTTTTGGGACAGCCACGAACACTACTCTTGTTCCCACTTCACAAATGAGAAACTAGATGTGGAGAGGTTAAGTGTGTTTCTTAAAATGCATTCGTTATTTATAAATAAAGTGGCTTAGTGGGGAAGGCAGAATTCAAACAAATGTGTGCTCTCCCTTCATGGCCAATGCTCTGTTTTTACCCAAACATCACAGCTATTTGAAAGAAATTCTGTGAGTTTGAAGAAAGGAAAGAATGGTAGTTCTTGAGTGTCCTGTTTGTTTTGTTTTGCAGTCTTTCCCTCCTTTGTTTTCAGTTATGTTTAAGTTTTTAAGTTGGCTACATTTTTTGAAATGTAAAATAATAAATAAATCAGTTAAACATGTAAGTGGCTGTAGCTACTGGCGATTCCAAACAGTAACCACACAAAGTGATGGTGAAAACAAAAAATTCAATCCAGTCAGCAGAGAAAGCAGTGCAGTGAAGGAGGGATCTCTTGGCATTGAACTAAATCAGATAGTATCTTATCTCTTTTTCTTTTTTTTTAAGGGATGGGAGAGACATGGCAGATTTTGTTACAAAATCGACACAGTTCTGAGAAACTTTGACCAGGCTTCCAATGGTTACTATTGCCCTCCTGCCCTCCTGACCGTTACCAGCAGGTAAGTGTAAACTTTCTAACATGCCTGCATTGCCAGGGACTTTGTAAGGACAAAGATCTGCCAGCAGAGCATGTCTGCATCTAAAGTGTGCATCAGGTAGGATATGAAGTATTTATTGAGATGAGCTGAGATCTGGTGTTATTTCTAACTTGACTTTTAAATGACAGATAGTAAAATCTAAGATGGCTTTTACTTTCCAAGAACACTCTTTGATTATCCAGCTTTGTTATTATATACAAAACCTATATTTAGGTTTGTCTTCTGTTTGTAATGAGGGAATAATGTCATTCAAAAGTACTTGAAAAGTGATACTTAAAAGTTGTGGCTTGTTTATTTGTTTAACAGAAAAGGAACTATCAAGAGTGAAGGATCAGGAAAACACTTCTTAGGGGTATTTTGTTTAGACTTAAATTGCTCTATACACAGGAGTCTTCCTCACAGTAACAGAGAGATCATACATGTTGGTGCTATTTAAAATTTGAAGCACACAACAGATGTGTAAAGGGAATAAAACTCTCGTAACAAAGGTGTGTCCAAATCAATGCCCAGTAAAGCGAGTTCTGGGAGACCAGTTGTTCCATGCCTAACACAGCAGTAGGGCAGAATTCTTCAGTGATTCCATGGAAAACTATACCAGCAAAGTGGGCCACTTCTCTGAGTTCAAGGCCAGCCTGGTCCACATAGTAAAGCCCAGGCTAGCCAGGGCTACATTTTATACTTTGTCTCAAAATAAACACACACACACACACACACACACACACACACACACACACACACACACACACACACTCTCCTTACTTTGGAAGTCCATATTCATAGCCATTATTGTGGACTTTCCTCTCTCAGCCTCTTACTTCCACACAACATGCTTGGGAAAGCATGACACTCAGAAGAATGGCCTGGCAGCATTTGGTGGCCTGAGTGGCCCTTACTAGGGCACAGCACATGCTTTGCTGGATCTCCGTGCTGTTTCTAGTTCTGCCTCTCTCCCTCCTAGGAACAGTTTCCAGGCAGAAGGATCCTCTCTCTTCTCAGCTCCCAAAAGCTCCAAGGAGAGCACTTGGGGTCACAGGCCTCCTAGTTAGAGAGTCATCACTGGACTTTACAGGAACCTAACCAACGAGACCAGCCTTCTTTGTTAATTATAATTTCATTAAGTTCTGCATTGAAAAAAGGACTAATTGTTTTGTCTTTTTAACATCTTTGAGGTTTTTATTTTTGTTTTTGTTTTTCCTGTTGAATATTCATTGCCACCGTAACTAAAATTTCTTTCCTTGGGGACATGTAAACAAGGTCTACCCCTCCTCCTAAGGTCCAATCACAAATTGAGGTATAATTCTGTTAAAGTTCACTCTGGGAAACCAATGGGCTGATTTGACTTTCTTGAAAAGCATAGATGAGGAGTGATTTGCAGGGTCATGAAATGCTCCTTTCTCAACAGGCCACACCTGGAAATCCTTTACCCAGCAGGAACGAGGGCTTCCAGGTAGCTGCATTGTTGGAGCCTCCTCCCCACTCAGTCTTCACAGACCTGTACACTCTAGCCCCTTCCCAAGGCCACGTGCAGTGGTACAATCAGGCAGTGTGGAGCAGTTTAGTAAGTAGCAGCAGATGAGGGTCTTGTGACCCTCCCCAGCCCTCCATGTGGATGGAAACAGTCAACAAGCCCAGCTAGGATAATCCCTTTACACACAGGACACAGATGAATTCTCAAACTTGGCAGTGGCTTGGCTTGTAGGACAGTCATGCTTCCACATGCTCACACAGTGTTAATTACTTTTCACACATTATCTGACCATGCCAAAAAAATCATAGTCAAGTCAATTTTTTATTAGAAAATTACTTATTGACTACCAATTTGGGAACACTGACATGCTTTTTAAAGAAATGAAGGTGGGTGTGACTGTCCCTTTTTCGTCCCAGAGCTGAAGAGAGAGAACTTTGCATACATGAAACAAGTGAAGGAGGAGTAAAGAACACTTGAGTAAAGCCACAGTGGCCTCACAGATTATTCAGAGTGCCTGTGGGACCCATGACAAGGCAGAACTCTGTTAAAGGACAAATCCCTTTGGGATTTCCTAAAACTGTTAGAGAGCTCTGAGAACAAAGCATTTCATTTCCTCAGACTGATGCAAGAGGATACTACAAATGTCTGTGAGGTTTTTGTTTGTTTGTTTGTTGCTTTGACAAACTATATTTAGCAGCCAACACTTAAATGGAGTCTGACTCTAAAGTAGAAGCATCACACAGATAATTTTTTTTTATTTCAGCCATGTCTTAGGATTAATATTGCTGTGATGAAACACCAGTACCAAAAGCAACTTGGGGAGGAAAGGGGTTATTTGGCTTACATTTCACTGTTCATCACTGAGGGAAGTCAGGACAGGAACTCAAACTGAAGGGAATGCAAGAGCAGATGCAGAGGCCATGGAGAACTGCTTGCTGACTTGCTCCTCCTAACTTGTTCAGTCTGTTTTCTTTTTTTTTAAATTTATTTATTTTACACACTTACCAGTTTCCCCTCCTCCCCTGCCATCTCCTCCCCCAAGGCCCCTCCATGTCCCCCCTCCACTCCTCCTCTTTTTCAGAAAGAGGCGGACCTCCCATGGGTATCAACAAAGCATAGTATATCAAGTTGTGGTAAGACTAAACACCTCGCTTTGTATTTAGGCTGGGCAAGGCAATCCAATATGAGGAATAGGTTTCCAAGAGCCAGTTAAATCATTAGGGACAGCCCCTGCTCCCATTGTTAGGAGTTCCACAAATAGACCAAGCTACACAACTGTCACATATATGTAGAGGACTTATGTCCGTCCCATGCAGGCTCCCTACTTGTTGGTTCAGACTGTGTGTTCCTATGAGCCCAGGTTAGTTGTTTCTGTGGGTTTTCTTGTGATATCCTTGACCCCTCTGTCTCCTACAATCCTTCCTCCCTCTCTTTAGTGGGATTTCCCAAACTTAACCTAATGTTTGACTGTGGATCTCTGCATCTGTTTCCATCAGTTACTGGATGAAGATTTTCTGATGACACCTGGGATAGTCACCAATCTGATCACAGGCTATGCATCCACTATTACTAGGAGTCTTAGCTGGGGTCACCCTTGTAGATTTGTGAGAGTTTTCCCTTGCATCAGGGAAAACTTGTAGATTCTGCCTGTCCTGGAGAGACTGCCCTTTCTAGTCATCTCTTTCAGTACTCGCCCCCTCTACCCAGCCTCCAACCTGATCCCTTAAGTTCCCATTCCCATCCCCACCCACGAGATCTCTTCAATTTCTCCTTCCCAGGGAGATCCATGCCCCCCCACCCACCTTTGGGCCCTCCTTGTTACGTGGCCTTTCCAAATCTGTGGATTGTAGCATGGTTATTACCTTACAGTTAATATCTTATTATGAGTGAGTACATACCATGTTTGTCTGTCTGGGTCTGGGTTACCTCACTCAGGATGATTTTTTCTAGTTCCATCTATTTGCCTTCAATTTCCTGTTGTCATTTATTTTTGCCTTTTTTATTAATTTATTTTTTACATTCCAATCCCAGTTCCCCCTCCCTCATCTCCTCCCACTCCCCCCACTACCACCCCACCCCACCTCCTATCTGCTCCTCTGAAAGGTTAAGGCCTCCTCTAGGAAGCCTACTAAGTCTGTCCCACCATCTCATTGAGGCAGAACCAAGGCATCTCTCCACCCCCCACACTCATGTGTCTAGGCTGGGCAAAGCATCTCTCCATATAGAATGGGCTCCACCTACTAAGTCAGTTTGTGCATTAGAGTTAGATCCCGAACCCACTGCCAGTGGCCTCATATATTGTCCCAGCTGCACCATTGTCACCTATATTAAGGGAGTCTAGTTTAGTCTTATGCAGGTTCCCATTTGTCAGACCAGAGTCGGTGATCTCTCACTAGCTCAGATCAGCTATCTTTTCCCATTCTGTAGAGAGCCATTTTGTCTTGTTGATTGTGCTCTTTGCTTTTCAGAAGGGTCTCAGTTTCAGGAGGTCCCATTTATTAAATGTTGCTCTCAGTGTCTGTGCTACTGGTATTTTATTTAGGAAATGGTCTCCTGTTCGTTCAAGTGTATTTCCCACTTTTTTTTCTTTGAGGTTCACTGTGGCTCAAGTCAAAGTCCACTTTGACTTGAGTTTTGTGCATGGCAATAGATATGGATCTATTTACATTCTTCTACATGTTGACAGCCAGTCATACCAGCACCATTTGTTGAATATGTTTTCTTTTTTCCATTTTATATTTTTGGCTTCTTTGTCAAAAATTAGGTATTCATCTTCAATTCGATTCCATTGGTCCACCTATCTGTTTTTATGCCAATACTAAGCTGTTTTCATTACTCTATAGTAGAGCTTGAAGTCAGGGATAGTGATGCCTCCAGATGATCCTTTATTGTACAGGATTGTTTTGGCTATCCTGGGTTTTTGTTGTTGTTGTTGTTGGTGGTGGTGTTTCCATATGAAGTTGAGTATTGTTCTTTTAAGGTCTGTGAAGAATTGTGCTGGGATTTTGATGGGTATTGATTGCACTGAATCTGTAGATTACTTTTGGTAGGATTACCATTTTTACTATGTTGATCCTAGCTATCCAAGAGAATGGGAGAGCTTTCCATTTTCTGATATCTTCTTTAATTTCTTTCTTCAAAAACTTAAAGTTCTTATCATGCAGGTCTTTCATTTGTTTGGTTAGAGTTGTCCCAAGATATTTTATATTATTTGTGGCTATTGTAAAGGGTGATAGTTCTCTGATTTCTTTCTCAGTCAGCTTATCATTCATATATAGGAAGGCTACCGATTTTTTTTTAGTTAATCCTGTTTCCCACCACATTGATGAAGGTGTTTTCTTGTAGAATTTTTAGGGTCACTTACATATACTGTCATATCATCTACAAATAGCAAAAATTTGACTTCTTCCTTTCCAATTTATACCCCCTTCATCTCCTTTTGTTGTCTTACTGCTCTAGCTAGGACTTCAAGTACTATTTTGAATAGATAGGG